ACTGGAAGACCCACCAAAAATAAAAAATTAAAAAAAAAACTTTCAGAACCATCTGAAAGAGAAATTAATTCTAGAAATAAGTATTTGACCTACAAGATTTGAAAGATAAACTTCTTCCTTCAGCAGACCCTTAATGATAGTTAACATCCACGAAAGCAAAAATAAAAAGGAAATAGAAAAGCATTATATCCAAGGTATTATTTAGAATCTGCAGAGTAATTTCCTTTGTACCCTGTACTGGACAAGGTACCAAGAGTCACAAGGGCATCTGCAGACTTGCAAACACACCTGCCCAAGTGCTGAGAGCTCAGTGGCAATGGAAGGACAGGCAAGAAGGGAAAGGAGGAAGATAGCTAGCTGAGACGAAGGGACTTCCCAGATATCCCTCTGCAACAATTCTTTCTGTAATTTCCTCTCCATTGTAACTTTTTAAGCACTTATTTTCACGGGCTTCTTATACTACAGCCTGTCCCAAAAGTCAATTTCACAAAATTTTTCCTTTGTAGTCTCCATACAATTATTTGTAAAATTTTGTAATGAATATCTTGTAAATAGAGATACATTTGGCTATAATTTCCCATTTTTCCTATGTATGGCGACTTTGGGGACACCCTGTATAATTCTGAATATGGAATACAAGTGGTTTTAAATTTTCCTTTCTGCATAACTCCCCCACAATCCAACAGCAGTCTAACTTTTGGAGGCAGGAAATTGCCACATCACTTATGACAGGCTTCTAAGCATTTAGTAAAATGGGTCTCCTCACAGGTGTTGTGTTGCCAGTGAAGTGGCTGTCATCTACCCTGGCTACACGTCAGAATCACCAGATGCTCAGGCCCCACTGCAAATATTAAAATTCAGAAGATCCGAATGGAGTCCAGGCATTTTTTTGACAGTGGAAGGAGAAAAAATATTTTTTATAGGGACATTCAAATTGGATGGTACTAATTTTCTTTAGCCTTCTTTCCCCTGGGCACTCTTGCCCACATCTAAATTCATGGGAACTATGTTTCAAGTGCTGCTTTGAGGCCACAAAGAGATAAGAGGACAGGTAAGGTTTTCACTTGTGGTCTTACTCCTTCTGTGGGAAGGCTGATTTTGCCCTACTCTAGGAATAAGAATAATCAAAAATATGCTAGCTGCTTTCCACAAAAGTCCAAGTGGGTTTACCATGAGGCCAAACACCCACACACATTATCCTTCAAATTTCTGAGTATTTACTGAAGTATAATGCCATCATTTAAGTGGCTATCGAGGCCCTATAAACTCCCATTAGTCAGAAGTGACTCCAAACAACAAATACACACTCTAAGTCTCCCTTCTGTTTCTCCTCTTTACAAGAAACCAGAATATATAACTGCCTCACTTTTCTTTTAGTAAATATCATAGAAACCTCTTTGGTTATTATATTTACCTCCATCCACTCTATAAATATTATAACTGCATGAATACACTTTCATCACAAAGTCAGTTTCAAGTTTATTCTCACAGAACTTTCACAGAGATGTTAATTTCTTCCTTAAAACCTGCTTTTGTTGGGTGAATGTTCTGGCTCAGGGGTCTCTTCAATTGCCTTAGGCCCAAGCTCAAAGATCTTAACACTCTTCCCGAGTCCTCTTCAGAGCCTCTCAAACTCCCCAGGAATAAGTACCTTTGGAAAGGAGGGGTGCAGCTCACAAAATACTACCCAGACTTTACAAAAGAGTCACCTGGGGCATAAGTCCCATACACAATTTACCAGGCTTTTCCCCAGGAAAGGGATTCAAAACAGATGGATGAAAGACCAAAAATCTGTATTTTAACAAGTGTCCCAGATGATTCTGGGTGTACCTCTTTTCCGAAGATGTTCATCACTGCTCCGTGTCACACCTGCTACCTTCTTCCAGGAACTGTGTGGCCACCTCTTCCCACTCCCCCCCAACCCACCTCACCCCTTCACAAATACCTTCCTTTCACCTACTCAAAAGTGAAGGATGTTTTGAAAAATTCAGCCACCCTGATTCATCCTTCTTTTCAATTCTTACTGCAATTAGTCATGTGGCACAATGTAATATTTGCCCTTTTAAGTGTACTGTTCATCGAGGCTTGTGGATAAATTGCTGACAATTTATCTTATTTATTTTTTTTTTAGGTAAAGTATAGGGTAAAGAGACAGCAAGCAAGCTTAAAAGACTTGCAAATGTTTATATATAAGTGTGTTGAATGTGATTCTGGAGTCATTGTTATTAACCCAAAAGCCCCCAAGAACTCACTGTATTTAAACTATTAACATTGAATACTACATAAAAATGATCCCTTAGTTCTCCCACAAGGAAAGCAATTTATTCTGCAGAAGCTTGATAATTACAAGCTTTCCCATTTTCTATCATAAGCAGCTTACTCACAGAGTTAAAGGACATACTAAATAAAGCCTCCTCCACAAATAAGCTGGTATTTGCTGTTAAAATTGTACCAAGAAAAAAGCAACATGTTACAGTGGTGGAGAACAGTAACTTAGCCAAGTCTTCATTATCTGAGGAGGAGGAGGAATGGGGAGGATAGCATTTATAAACCTACAGATGACTCCTGCCTGCACTTCACCCAGTACAGTAACTGTGGCAACTGCCACCTCTTTAGGGGGGCTGCTCTCCTCATTTGAGAAAAGGAAGCAGAACACTAAGATCTCTAAGGTCCCCTTTCAATTTCAACAACCTAGAATTTGATAACTCCAAAAGGACTGTACTGTCTTCTTCCTTATAAAGCCTCCATTTGCCAAGGCGCCTAAGTTAGGAAGGACCTGATTATCAAATGAGGCCAGGCACTGGGACTCACTACTCCTCCTCACAAGATTCTGGAAAGAAGAATGGCTTTCAGCTCCATCAAGGCCTCTTGCACACATGGGGGCCGGATGTCCAAACTTTGGGACATAATAATAAGAATAATCTGGAGTTTTATTATTATTGTTATTTTATTCAGAAACATGAAATCCAGGGCCCACCATGAATGATTCTGATTTAATAGGTCTACAACAGGATCCAAGAAGCTGAATTTTTAAAAAGAACCTAATTAGCTGGTTCTGAAGCTCTGTGGAGAACACTACCCATTTTGCAAAATGCTTCTCTCACCTTTCCTCTTCCATGCCTAATGCCTTTCCCCAGTTGCTCCTACTTTTCCCAAACAAAATGTTTGGATAGTAATTTCTTCCAATTCTAACCATGCTTCAAGGTCTAGCTCAAATGCCAGCCACTTCTAGAAGCCTAAAAGCATCACCATTGCTGAAAAGGACTTCCCACTCTCCTGCACCCTTGTGCCATTTGCAAATCAAGAGAATAGAAGGTGTCCCCTGTCACTAAACAGCCACTTCTTTGTGCAAATCTCATCTGTTCCTGGGCAGTAAACCCCTTAGGGATTGACTAAAGGGGACTGACACTTTTTACCTCCTAAAATAAAACACCTACATTGCATGAGGCATTCTGTAAAGACCTTCCTGAATGAGAGATCAAGCAATTAATGAATGAATGTAGGCACATATTTCTTCTAATGAGTAACCAAGGCTAAAATTGCACAAAACAGGACAACTGTCTAGATTTTGTACTAACTGTCTACATAGTTTAAGTACCATAAACTCCTTCAATTTCCTTATCTGTCAAATTAAGGGGTTTCAGGGCACTTTTTAAAAGTTCATGAAACACCTTCTTTTGTCAAAAGCCTAACATTCCAAATGCTTTATCTGACTTGACCATTTATTCCTCAGTTAACACACAACCATCTGTGTCCGTGTTACACAAGCTTACTGCATTCCCATCATGTACAATCCTGTCTCTGAGGGACTCCGGAGGAAATTTAAGATATCAGCTGGTACAGAAAACATCAGTAGTTTACTTTTCCCACCTCAAACCTAACAATGTTTCTCTTGAACATTTTCAGCAAAAAAAAAAAAAAAAAAAAAATTACGTAGTACCCATTCTAACAGTTATTTCACAATGTGCCAAATTCCTATAGAATTGGGTAAAAAAATCTATGACTAAGTTCACTCTTTGTAAAAAACAACATAGAGTTTTGAGTCTCTAGTAACTAGTTTAACATCCCAGTTTTAAAGTATATCCCTGCCTAAATAACATGAATACAGCTTAATCACATTTCAGATGATCACTTCTGTTTAAAAAAAAGCCACATTGAACCTATTCTTTCCACTGCTCAATTTGTCCTTCTTAATCCAAAACTTTCCTAGCAAAATGTAATTACTTATAATCGACTGGTTATACAAATGTGTTAAATAGCAATAACCTGAGTACCACCAAAACACACTTTTCAAAAGTGTTAAGAAGTAACTGCCAGTTTTGAAAGAGAAACTGCATTTTTCAATTTTAAAAGTGTAATTAATTTGTAGCCATGGTAATGTGTCCCTCAACAGAAACCGAGGTGGCAAAAAAAGAAAAGGGAAACCCAAAGTAGTATAAGATGATGTATAAAAACTGCTATTGGTGAAAGGAAGGTGTCACTTTTATAAGATCTTAATCCAGGTATACAGGACACGGAATGACCTTAAAGTATTAAGAGTGAAAGGCTAAAAACAAAAACAAAAAATGTAAACGAGTCATATGACTTTAAAAAAAAATTCAGAACATCTGGGCCATGCACACCACGCGATCAAATAAGCATCACTTTAAATTTTTTCCATAAAAATTTCCATAAGTAGTGCAGTAAGAAGTGTAACTAACATAAATAATTTGTGGCCTCGGAAGAGGGAAATGGAACGTAGGTCCCGAGCGGGAAATGCTGAAGGGAGGCACGGGAGGCACGGCACCCAAGGAGGGTCAAGCGGGAACCTGGATTCGCTGTTCCAGTTCTTACCAGACGTGCAGCGAGCCGCGGGCAAGCTGGGAGAGAGGGAAGGAGGGAAAAGGGAACGGAGACGGCAGCTCGGGGAGAGGACCCGCTCCCAGGCCGGACCCCACGGGGCTTCCCATTCATTCCGCGCCGTGTCCAGGGCCGTCCGCCCGGAACCGCCGCGCACTCACCTGTTAGGGCACTGGACCTCGCGGCGCCCGAGGCCGCCGAGGCCGCCGCCAGCAGAGGGGCGCGGCGGCGGCCGCAGGCGAGGGCGGCCGCCGGCGGGACGGCTGCGCGCAGCCCGGCGGGCAGGCGCGCAGGCCGGGCGCGTCCCTGTGCAGCAGGGCCGAGCAGAGCCGCCGCGGGCTCTGATACATGCCGGGCGCCGCCGCCACAACCGCCGCGGCCGCTCGCGCGCCGAGGAGCCGAGCCCGGCTGGGGCCGAGGCCGGCGAGCCGAGTGGGCTGTCGGGGCAGCCCGGACCGATGCTCCGAGGCCCCTTCTCGCCCCGCCCGGGTCCTGGGGAAAGTCCTGGGCAGCGGAGCCTGCCGGGAGGGCGCAGGAGCGCGGCAGGGCTGTGGCAGCGGCTGTGGCAGCGGCTGAGGCAGCGGCCGTACGGGCGGCAGCCGGCGGGCGAGAGCCGGGGGCAACCGGCGAGCGCAGCGCGCTGACAAAGCGGGCGCTACCAAGCGCGAGCGGGAGGGGCGTCCGCGGGACCGACGCCGGCGCGACCAGAAGGCTAGGCGTCCTAGGCCCGGCTAATCCTATTTTTAAAGGAAGGAGGATTTACACTGTTATGTAACGTGGAGGCTGTAAGAGGTCTAAGGTAACACGTATCCGTCGAGCGGTTTTAAAGAAATAAGCGCCCCCTTCCTCTGGCTGGAATGGAAGCACCCGTAGGCTGGGAATCCCGAGACAGTTCCAGGGCTGTGGCCCGGGGCACACGTGTGTGTCCGCGTGGAAGGCGGCGTCTGTGTGTGCGTGTGCGTGTGCGTGTGTGAAGACAGCAAAGGGCCCCTGCCTCGGACCCCTTTGGCGGGGCGTGTTGCGTTAAACGAAATTAAGCACGATAAAGCACCGACTGTGTGCGAGGGCAACGACGATTAAAACAACGTCCCTCTTTTGAAGGATGTTATACTCAGGCAAAGGCGGCAGAAGGTGGCGAGAGAAATCAGACCATAAAGTAGTTCTGTAAGCTAGATGAAGATCAGCGCCATAAGATGCCACAGGGGTCAGAGGTTACAACAGGCCCAGATCTCTAGAACGTTTATTAGAAGAATTGAGTTGGTCCATGACCATGACGTGGAGGTCTAGAATTTACACATGTGGAATTCGGGAGGGAGTAGTGGTGATTTATAAATGAAAAAAGCAAATAAGGAGAAAAGCCCTGCGTGTATTTGGGGAAACAACTGCTCTTAGTTGTGTAAGATGGAGGCGAAGAAGACAGATGCTTGGATAGGTGATACCGTGGCCGGCAAAGATTATACTCGACTCAATTTGGTAGGTAGTGATGAGATGTTTTGTGAGCTGGGCAAGGATGTGATAAGGACTGTGCTTTAATTGCAAGTTATATGTCTCTGGTACATGAAAAGACAAGAAAAAGGACACTAGCTGAGATAGATATTCCAGACCTGCACCGGGTTAATGGTACTATAAAAGAATGGATGGAATGGACATCTCAGGTAGATTGGGCCGGAAATGATGACTAACCAGGAATGGAAGTGGGATGAGGCAGGGAAACGCGGAGACTAGATTCCTTTCTGAATGACTTATGAGTTAGAAATGTTCTGGGCCCTACGTGATGGCTCACACCTGTAATCCCAGCACTTTGGGAGGCCAAGGCGGGAGGGTCGCTTGAGGCCAGGTGTTTGAGACTAGCCTGGGCAACATAGTGAGACCCTGGCTCTACAAAAAATAAAAAAAATTAGCCAGGCAGGTGGTGCATGCCTATAGTCCTACCTGTTTTGGAGGCTGAGACGGGAGGATCTCCTGAGCTCAGAAGTTCAGGGCTGCAGTGAGTTATAATCCTGGTACACTCCTGCACTCTCGCCTGGGTGACAGAGTGAGACCCTGTCTCTAAGAAACAAACAAAAAAAATGTTCTGTTGGTTTCTCATGATTTTGCTGATTCCTTGTCTTGTGGAATTGGAAGTTTTTCATCATCAAGGATATTAAAAATATTTTTCAAACCGTGATTATACGTCTAACTCCCAGAGGGTGTGGATGAATCAGCTGGCACAAATTGGTCACAACTCCTGGCAGACAAGCTCGTTGGCAAGTCATTAAACTCTCTTAGTATGAATTTCCTTATCTATAAAACAGGATCATGTATTAGTCATTAGGTGAAATAAAAGTGATAGTACAATTAACCCATAAAAAGTGTTTTGCAAATATAGCAAATGTTGATTTAGAATCTAGGTGGAGGGTATATCAATGTTCACTTACAGTCTTTTTTCTTTTCCATATGTTTGGATATATTCATAATAAAATGTTGGGGAAAAACTTCTTTGAGAAATGAAAAGTACTATGCAGATACAAACTGTCTTTTTTTCATTATTGTTTTGTTTTTCAGTTCTGTCACCTAGGCTGGAGTGCAATCACAGGATTACAGCTCACCGCAGCTTCATACTCCTGAGCTCAGACAACCTTCCTGCCTCAGGCTTCTGTAGCTGGGACTACAGGCACATGCCACTCGGCCTGGATAATTTTTTTTATTTCTTGTAGAGACAGGGTCTTACTATATTGCCCATGCCTCAACCAATCCTCCCACCAGCACCTCCCAAAGTGCTGGAATTACAGGCATAAGCCACCAAGCCTGGCTAAAACTATCATTAGTAAAAGAGATTCAAAGAGCATACTATCCTGAAAGTGAGTCAGTAATGTTATTTTTGTAGTAGATTAAACAATGTATCCTTCAAGCAATCAGAAATATAGAAATTAGAACTTACTTTAAAATTCATTCAGTAAATATTTATTGAGTACATATTATGTGCCTGGCTCTATGTTAAGGGCATACAAAAATACATTGAATAAAGTCTGTTCACAGTTTAGTGGGCAAGACATTGTATAAACATAAATACTTGCAATTATCTAATAATAAATACAGAATCATGATATGGACATGGCCAGGGTATGGTGGAAGCAGAGAAGAGGAAATACCTAATTGCCTAGAGAAGCCAGGAGAAGCTTTTGGAACAAAACAGCTTCCAAGTGGAAAGAGATCACGAAGGATATCCACAGGGAGAGAACAGTAAGGCAAGGAAGGAGGCATGTTCCAGGAATTGCCAAGTACTTAGATAAGGCTTGAGTACAGGGTGCCTGTAGGGAGTGGCAGGAGATGAAGTGGAAGCTGTGAGCAAGAGCTGAAGTGAAAAGGACTTTGAAAGGTTTGGACTTTATCCTGAAGGTTGTGAGGACGCACTGAAAGACTAAATGGGTAGGTTGCACTATTAGGGTTGCATTTTTGAAAGATCATCCTATTAGTAGTGTGGAAAATGAATTGGAGACTGGGAAAGAATAAGAACAGTGCAGATAAAGGAAAGTATATATAGGTTCAGAATCTCTGGAGAAGGATCAGGAGAGTATGTATACTTATTTTAAAAGAATATTGGGTGGGTCATTCTGATAACACACTCCTCTTGCCTCAGTGCTACCTCCCAAACAAATAAATGGGGGCAATGATGGTGGAAAGGAGATGCACTTAAGAACCATGAAGGAGACAGAAATCACAGAGTCGAATAACAGATTGAATCTAGGGGCAGAGGGAGGAAAGGATGGAAGCTAGAGATGACTTGGGTGATGGGTGGGTAATGGAACCAAGTAGGGAACAGCAGAGATTTCAGAGGAAGATAGTGAGTTCATATTTGAACATATAATTGTGATCTGCCCTTAGAACATCCAAGTGAAGTTACTTTGTAAGCACCTGAAACTATAAACCTGGAGTTTATAGTTTGGCTCCAGGTAACCTCTGATTTCCTGTCTGTTACCATAGATTAGATTTATTTTTTTCTAGAATTTTACATAAATGGGTTATACAATATATACTGTCTAACATAATACTTTTGAGATTCATCCATGTTGTTGTGTATCTCATTACACTCTGTTCCCTCCATGCTCTGCCTAGATAGTTTTTCATAAACGATACAATCCGTTTATTCATTCACCTGTTAGTGGACATTTTCGTAAATAGTGCTATGAACGTTCATATACTAGTCTTGGGACATATATTTTCCTTTCCCTTAGATAAGTGTCTAGGAATGGAATTTCTGGATTGTGCGGTAAACCTTTTATAAAAAACTGCCAAGATTTTTTTCAAATGATTGTCACCTAGGAAGCCTCATTCTGAAAGGATAAGCTAGATGTTTGCTTTTAAAGTAAAATTATTTTCTCTTTTTATGATTTAAAAAAATTGATATAAGTCATAGATGAATACAGTTTCACTTTAACACATTTAATCATTCAAACAACAGAGAAGCAGCCTTACTTCTAGTGCTCCCCCTTCCCTGGTAACTCACAGTAACAGCTTCCTTGGAAGGCACTTGCCCTGAGGACCTGGGCAGAAACTCAGGCTGTAGTGTCTGGGTCAGCAGAACAGTCAGGAGAGCAGGTGCCTGAGCGAGGGCTGCACTGGAGTGAACTGGACTCTTTCACAATTCCCCTTGGCGTGTTGGCTATGGGAGGATTGCCTTTTAGCCTTTTGGAAATAATTATATTTAAAGAAGGCCTGGCTGTTTGAGAACAGATATTCTTTTCCCTAAAATGTACAGTGTTTGATAGATGTAGGCAGATTCTTACTTCTTGTACTCGTTTTTCTCGACTCCATTCAAACCACAGCCCTTTGGGTACAACTCAAAAGAAGTTTATATTTTACATCTCTACATTCCAGTTATATCTTTCTGAGGACACACCCTAGATGGAGGGTCAGCAAACACCTGGTCTTTTTCTACAACACCAGAAAAATGGAAATGTGGATCTCAGCCATTATTTATTCTCCTTTCAAAATGGTAAATTCATCCTGATTTTATCTGTTCTGGACGTGGGACAGAGACACCTTAACTGAAATTTTTAGCACATTGACTATCTGTCTTTGTCTTTAAGAATGAATCATTCTTGGATTGCAGGATACTTGTTTTCCTACAAGACAGGTGTGCATCGAGGAGCTGTTTCATGGCCACTTACTCTGATTTGGGGTGGAGGGTGTAGGAATCTTTATGTGCTCATTTCCTGGAAAGCTGTGTCTGTGTGTGTGTGTGTGTGTGTGTGTGTATGTGTGAAGAGAACAGAGGGGCTGCAGGAGAACTTGGGCCTCAGGCCCCAAAGGTGGGGCAAGGTGTTTTTCTCAGCCCTTTTTCCAAACTTTTCCACAGTTTGGAAAAGTTCCAGGTTCCCTAGGC